CCTTGGCTCCAGAGACTCATCCCCCCTCTCTGCCCCCTCCTGGCAGGGAGTTGCCGAGGGCCAGGAGGTCTCCCCTCAGCCTCCTCTTCTCCAGACTGAACCCCCCCAGTTCCCCCAGCCGCTCCCCAGCAGACCTGTGCTCCAGACCCTGCCCCAGCTCCGTTGCCCTTCTCTGCCCACGCTCGAGTCACTCAATGGCCTTTTTGGGGTGAGGGGCCCAGAACTGAACCCCCTCAGCGAGGGGCAGCCTCCCCAGTGCCGAGCCCAAGGCTCAGATCCCTTCCCTGGCCCTGCTGGCCACGCCAGTGCTGACACATACTGGATGGCACAGGCAGCCTCTTGCCTGGCCAGTGTGCCCAGAGGTGACCCGCTGTTGCCCAGGGCACACGGGACACCCTTGCCACGAGGACAAGGAGGATGACGGGGTGAGGGCACACGTGAGGCTCGGGGCTGCACACACCAGGCTTTGTTCCCCCCACAAGAAGCCGCAGGGAAGGAGCATCCACCCCTCAGTGGTGTGACAGGGACCTGCCACCACCCCCCACACCCCTGGGCAATCATTTCATAACCCCACAGGCTGCCCTCACCTGACCTGATTAACCATCGTTAATTCAAGGTTTGCTGCTGCAAATAGAAAACTGTTGAAAGCGGAGTTGGATTTGCCTTATGGCCGGCCGGGAGAGAAGTGCTCCCTGCTACTGCCCTTGCTCGGCACGTGGGATCCGCCTCCCCTCCCGCAGGGGTGTCTGCGGGATGCTCCTGTGGGTGCTGCCCCCACCTTGGCCCCAGGAACAGGGCACAGACTCCAGGGCCAGCCCAGGGCAACCACAAACTGCACCAACAAGACCCCACTCGTCTTCCTCACCTCCAGCATCCCTCAAGCCCTTCCTCGCTCAGCCAGGCTCGTTGCTTTGAGCACACCCTTGGTTCTGGCTGGGGCCCCATCCCAGAGCTGCATCCTCACAGCACCCTGGATCAGCTCCACAGCCTTTATCACCTGGGTACCAACTCCTCCCAAATGCAGCCCACCTGTGCCCTGGCCCTGGGAGCCACCGGGAGCCACCGGGAGCCACCACGGCACACCAGCCCCACTGCGCAGGGCTTTAGCTGTCAGCACATATTTCCCAGGGCCGGGACTTGTCATCTCTTTAATTGCACACCAGAGAGCTGCTTAGTTTACAGATAAGCAGGTGCTATTTCTGCCAAGGTCGGGGGGACACGTGAACTGTGACCTTCCCGCTGGTGGGTGGAAGAGGAGGAGGAGGCGGCAGCAGCCCAACCTGGATACCCGCTGCTTGGCTGGGGGGACGGTGGAGCAGGCACCCCAGGGCTGTGCCTACAGCGCCTAATCCCGAGATCTCTACTGGCAGCTCTTCGTTAGGCTCTTAATAATGCCCCTGAGACTGGTGCCGTTCCCAAGGGCCATGGCTGTAGGGTCTGCGGAGCGTGGCGGGGATGGAGAGCAGATTTCGTTATGGGCATCTTAAGCTCGGTTTAATCCTGACTGGGTGGATTCAGCAAGAGAGATCTTGCCCCGGTGGGGGGGCAGATATTTCCCCTCCCAAAGCCAACAGTGAGACGGACAGACCACGTCCCTTCCCGCGCTTGCACCGTGCTCTGACCCAAGTGCCGGGGAAGGAAGCTGGGGGATGCAGCACCGTGTTAAAAATAATAGGGAAATGAGAGAGGGCTTCTTCCTTTTTCCTGTTTAATAAATGCCCAAAGGCTCCTCTCATCCGCCTCATCTCACCCATCCTTCCAGGTCCACGTGCTGGGTGAAGCACAGCTCAGACGGCTGCTTCCAGCGGGGCAGGAGGCGGGTGGACGTGGGGCTGGGGGAGCACGGGGGTCCTGGGGTGTCCTGCCACTCCGGCCACGGCTGCGGGGCATCCCCCACCCTCCCGCTTCGCTGCCCTCACCCACGGGGTCTGTCCTCCAAAGGGAGCCCCGGGGGCAGCCGGAGACCCCCAGCAAGCTGGTTACCAGTAAACCCTCTTTCTGAAATACAACAGCCCGCAGGTGCTGGCACAGCTCCCCGGGTGCCCATGGTGGTGCCTCTGGCACCGTCCCGCAGCCACCTTACGTAAACACCCGCAGGCAGCGCCGCTCATTTCTCAAAGCCCCACAAATGCTCCAGGTCTTCCTCCCCTGATCCGGATTAAGCGGCGCAGACGGCGTTAATCAGAAACCAGGCGCCTCCGCGACTGCAGGGAATTATTGCTGCGCTGTTAAGTAATGAGAGGGAGAAGCGCCGGTGGGAGCGGGGTCTCTGGCAGGGTGGGGGGCTCCAGCACACACCCACCGTGGAGCGTGTCCCCGTGGTGGGTGCTGGTGAGGGATACAACTGCTGCCGTGCAGCCTGGAGCCGCCAGACCAAAATCAAACGGTGGCCCTGGCTGCACGGCAGCGGTTGGCCTGGCCACAGGTTCCTCTCGAGGCCGGGAGCCCAGGAGGAAGCCTCAGCAGGGGATTTTGGCATGTTGGTGCCAGTGGGCTTGGACCGGGGTGGTGGGGGAAGGTCCCTTCGCATTGGGCTCATGGCTGCGGGGGTCAGCTCAAGGGTGGCAGATGGCCAGGAGCACGGCTCGGCTCGGCGCTCCATCCTCATCCTCCTCTGGCAGGAATCCGCTGTCCCGTCTGCTCCAGGAGCCACCCTGGTGCTCCTGGGCACCCTGGCAGCAGACGGTGGCTGCTGCTCATCTGGAATTAATCGGTGTTAATCACCCTAGTGCAGCTCGAGCCAGCTGCACACGCATGGCCCGCTCGCTCTTCGCCACGAGCAGCAAAACCTCTGGGTTTGCACCCAGGAGCTGCGGGGAGCCCCGGTGCCATTTGCAGCCCCATCCTGCTGGGAAAAGCCTCCCTCCTGCCCGACCCCTTCCCGGGAGCCCCTGAACCCCACTCCCCTCCCACCCACAGGCAAGGTGGGCGCAGGCAGGGTGACAGGAGTGCCATCGTCAGCCACCTCCCACCCTCAGCATCTCCCTCTCGGGCAGAGCTCAGCCCCGATGCGGGCAGCAGGGTCCCCAGGAGCAGGCAGGGGGGGCGCTGCCTGTCTGCCCACCACCCCAAACACATTTTCAGGGGCTTGCTGCTGTCCCACGCCGCTGGCCGTCCCTTCCCCCGGGGGTCCTGCCCGAGGGATGGGGCTCTCCCCCCTCCATCGCCCCTCGCCCTTGGGGCAGATGAACAGTGGGGAGCGGAGCAGAGGCTGAACCCCAGCTCCCAGGGCTGCCGCTGCCTGCACCCGGCCATGCTCGGCCTCGCGTGGCCACAGGCTTCCCCCCATGGCGGGGCCGGAGCGGGAGGAGGAGCGAGGAGGCTGGTCCCGCGCGGGGAGAGCAGAGCGCAGAGAAGGAGGAAGAGCGCGGGCGGCCGCCGCGGTGCCGAGCGAGCGAGCGGTACGGGCTACCGAGCGGGTGGGCCTGGCCACTGAGTCCAGAGAGTGGGGCCAGCGGGGTGGGTGCTGCCAGACCCCCACGCTGCCGCCCCGACGGGCAGCGTGTGCCGGGCAGGGGTACCGGCGTGCCCCGCGGGAGGAAGCCCAGAGCGACCAGGGCAGCATCGTGGCTCCGCTCCCGCCTGGCTGCACCCCGAAAGCTCGGCTCGTTGCCAGCAGCACCCTGCCAGAGCCACAGGAGCCCTGCCCCGTGTCTGCGAGGGACGGTGAGTGTATCGGG